GGAGGCCGGGGAAACGACCCCGGAGGGCCGGGCGTGTCCTCGGCTGCCGCCCGCCCCGACCGCGCGCCTGCTCCGTGCCGCCGTGGCGGAGCCGTCCCGTGCACCGTGCGGGCCGGCCGGCGTGACGGAGCCGTCGGACTCGCTGCTCCGGTCCGGGTGTGGAGCCGCCGGCTCTCCCGGGCCTCGCCTCCCGGCCGGGGCCACGCCTCCGCGGACGCACAGCTCGGAGTCGGCAGCGGCCCGGGCCGCGCAGGGGTGCGGCGCGGCGGCCGGAGCGCGGAGCTCGGGCGCCTCCTGGCGGCGGCGGCGGCGGCGGCGGCGGCGGCGGCGGCGGCGGCGGCGGCGGCGCGCAGCCAGCTCCTCGCGGCCGAGGCTCTGCGTGTGGGGGACGCGAGTTCCGCGGGCCGGCAGGTGGCCCTGGGCCTGCACTTCCCCACGTGCCCGGGTGGCGGCGCCGAGGCTCAGATCGCCTCTTTATTAATAACGATGCCCCGGGAGGAAAAAAAAATATCAGAGCCTTTAAACACAAGACTGCGTGGAAGAGAGGAGGGTGTGTGTGCGCGCGCGCGCGAGTTGGGGCGTTGGTGAAAGCAATAAAAGTCAGATCGCTTCCTTGGAGAGATAGCGGCGGCTATAATGCGCGGGGGGGGGGGACGGATCAGGGGTTTATTTGCAGATCCTGGATAAAAGATGATATATCGACACAGTTTAGAGTGTCATTGCGCCTGGCCTCTCAGGAAGCCACAAGTACATATTTCCTGAAATACCGGCCAACACAATATCTAATCCACAGGCCACTTAAGCCCGGGAGGGGAAGCTGACGTCTCACAAGTTCGCTCCCGGTTTCCCGGTCGTGGGGCAGGAGACCCCACCCGGACAGGATCTGGTGCGCCCGGACGCGCCCCCTCCCGCGGCTGCCTTCAGTCCGAGTCATCACTTAGGGATGGGCCTTAATGAATACGTCTGAGGACTGTCCTTATACTCGGCAAATATTGGATTAGCTTTTCAATGACCAGGCTCTTGAAAAGGCTCGAGAAATCCACACCGGGTCTTCACTAAGCCTAACAGTCAATAGGTAAGGAGAATAAGTTTTTCCCTGGCCGGGGTGGGGAGCGTTGGCAAGAGGATTCCTACTCTTACCAGGGTATCAGATGCCACTACTGAATAGGACCGTCTACCAAATGGGAAAAGGAGGCCCCCAAGTTTTGGATTCGCTGGCGTTTCCCGTCCCTTAGTCCTGCTCGTCGAGGGCTGAGTGACCGCCCGACGGCGGCGTGTGTGGGCCTGTTTGTTTCCACAACACGGGCTCTTCTCTTCTCTTCTCTTCAGCACATACTGGCTGAATTACTCGGGGCTTGCTTACGGGAGATTTTGGCCAGGCTGCTGGGGACGGTGCGTGGCCCGAGTGATCCCCGACAGCCCTCGATACCTCAGACTGCTCAGGCGAGGAAAACCCGGCAAATGCCCCGGAGGCTCTGCTCAGCGTCCCCGGGACTGAATTTTGCTAAACAAACGATGCGGGAGACGCTGAGAATCCAAGCGCAACTTCCTCTCTCTTCCAGCACGAGGGGTGGCGGCGAAAGAGGTCTCCGAGCCGAGCCGGTTTTCCGTCTCACTGAGATGCCGGTGGGGTCCCCGCGCACAATTCAAGGGACAGAGGGCCGGCCACGGAGGGGTCCCGCTGGGTGGCAGTGGCTTCGGAAGCCGCTGCCGCTGAAACTGAGCTGGTCCAGGGACGAGCGGCCCCTCGGCCTCCCCGGGTCTTCCCTGCCGTGCGCGGAAGGCTGGCTCCGCGCGCCTGGCCGTCCTGGCTGGGCGGGAGCAAGGGACCGGATTTTCATGGACTCTGGGGCCCCGCAGCCCACGGGACCCGAGCATGCCCGGGCCTTGGGCACCGGGGTCTCCTCCTGAGGCGGGCACAGTCGGCGGGCTCCCACCAGAGGCCCCCAGGTAGGCGAAGCCTACTCCGGGCTGCAGCGCGCGGGGGCACGCAAAGTGCGCGCAAGGAGCCCCGACCCCGGAGGCGGACAGTTCAGATACCAGAGCCTGAGTGTTAGAGCCAATATTTGGTAGAAGAGACAGAGACAGACTGGGGTGGGGTGGGGTGGGGTGGGGTGTAGAGAGCAAGAGCGAGAGAGCAAGAGACAGAGAGCGCGAGAGCCCGAGAGAGAGGTATCCAGCTCTCAGTGTGTCACGGGGCCTAGGCGGGGCAAGCGCCCTCTGAAACCATCAAAGACAGGGGTGGCTTTTTTCCCCTCCTCCAGCCTCCTCCCCAATAGATATAGCACGAATTTTTAATGCGTCTTCCTTTCACAGACAACAATACAGGGTTTGAAAGCCGGACACAATTTGGGTTTTGTGCGGGTCCCTCCTCGCGCTCCCTCGGCCCAGCTGGCCATATGGAATCCAGCATGGAGCCCGCAGATGACAAAGGGACCCAGTGACAGGCCCAACAAAACCCCAAGGAGACTTCTGCCTGACTCCGGGATTCACTGCCTGCGATAAGCGCGCTGAATGGTGCAGGGTGGAGGGGGAGGAGAGGGAGGGAGGGTGGGCCCCTTCTCCCTCTTCCCCTCTCTCTGTCCCCTGCAATCCTTTCTCTGCCTCTTTTTAATATGCACGCCTCTAACATCCCCGGCTCCCAGCTCTTCCATTGTGCCGTTTTGTGCGGCCCGCTGTAGATTGGGCGAAGATAGACTGCCAAAGCGGACCCCGAGCCGGGTGCGCTCCCAGGGCGCTGGGGTTAGGGCCACACAGGGCTCTGCGGGCGCTTTTATTGACTCCACCGGACCCCGAGGACAGAGGGAGGCGGGCGCCGGACCCACCTCCCCAGCTCCTAGCCAGGCCAGCGCACATCCAGATTGCAGGCCTGCAGGCCTGGCCACTGCCCCAAATGCACCCTCATTGGGCCTTCAATGTGCACACAGTGGAAGCCTTCCAGAATTTGGACCTTCCACTTTGCCTCATTCCTCCCTGGAGGCTGTGGGAGGAGGGGCTCCTAAGATCACTCTTGGCCTCCGGAAGCGCTAGGCCTGCAACAGTCAAAATCAACTGGAGCCTTGGGGGCTGTGCCTTAGGCCTCGCGACCACTCCACTCCAAGAGGCTCGGAAGTCTCACCTCCTTTCCGGTTGGATTGGGGAGTTACAGAGAAGTTACCAGTGGAATCTTGAGTAGTTGGTATCAGGGCAAGTTGGGCATCCAACCATTTCGCCATAAATGATTTGGGGAGAATTCTCTTGGCCTTTACAAGCAGCAAGAACTAAAAACCCAAACGTTTACATACTGTGGGGGAACAAAAGGAGACTTCTCAGTATTTAGGGAAACCTGGGTGAACCCTGATGAAACTGGAGATGGGGAAGGACATTTAGGAGGATATTAGAAAGACTCCAGCGCCCTGAATTATCCAGGGGCGGGTGCGCAACGCAGAAATAACGTGTAATCACGTCCCAGGGCGTGTTGCGCTGAGTGCTATTGACGCGCAGATTTGGTCACACGGATAATCATGTTTACTTTAGATATTGAATTAAATCTGATCATCAACCAGAGGGAGTGAGAAAGTCAGCTGGGACTGCTGCCTTTGCTCGGCCTCCTCGCCACCCCCCGACTCCCCTCCCCAGCCATGAAGGTGGAGCTCAAGAGAAAGCAAGAGATACAATTTCTGAAGGGGGCCGACTTTCAATCCCAAGGCATCTCAGCGCCCGCTGGGCTCTGAGCTACAGGGACCTGGGTATTTTCGGAAATCTGCGAAATGGAGGAGAGAAGCGCCCCCTCCCTGCAAGCATGGCCCCCCGAGATGCTCCCTTGCGTGGGCAAGTGTGAGCCAGCATCCGCCTAGGAGATCTCTCCGCGACGAGGTGGGGGTGGGTGGGTGGTGGAACCTATTCTCTATTAGGGACGGGCCGATGCACCCTCCCCCGGGCGAACCGGGCGCTGTTTGCTCGAGGCGCTCTCCCTTCACCACAGCCGGGCAGGTCGGGGCGCGTCACCCCACCTCCAAACCCTTACTTTCTAGCAAGCAGTTCGCTCAGTTTCACGCCGAAGGGCTGGCTTGGACGGCCGCGCTCAGCCAAATGCTAGGAGGGGCGGAGGCCTGGGATCAGCCTGGGGTTTGGGGGCTGCAAATCCAGAAAGAATGGGGGCGGAAGGGAGGCGAGAGGTTGCGTTTGTGGGGACTGCCACTGACTCTCGCTCGTTGGCTCTCCCGGACCAAAGAGCCTAGAGGAGGCTGCAGCAGCCCCCCTCCCTCCCCTGCGCGCCGGTGCCCGCGTTCCACCTCATTGCTAAGGCTCGAGCACCCCAAAACCCGCCTCCCCGCTCCGCTGGGCGCCCCGGTCTCGGAGCGGTCTCGCGGGCCGCCTGCAGTCGGCGGATTTTGAAAGGGGGGTGGGGAGTAGAGAAAAAGCCGCCCAGTCTCAACCTCCGCGTCCCCACCCCCCTTCTTCGCGCGAGGTAAATCAAATGCAACAAAGTGAAAGTCATCGAGTGTAGTGGCTTCAACAGCTTCTCAGGCTGAAGGAGCCACTCAGAGGTTTGGGCGAGCGAGGGGGGCTTGCTCCCTTCGCCTCGGTGTTTTCCAAAGTCACTTTTCCTCCCGGAGCCGGGACGCCGCCGCCCCTGCGTCAGCGCGCGAGGCCAGGAGGGAGACCCGGCAGAGGGCGGGCGACCTCGGGCTTCGGGTCGACAGCCCCGAGGCCCGAGGCCGAGCGCTCCCTCCAGGGCTGGGGATCGGAGGCGGGGGCGTGGCCCGCCCGCTCGGGTGAGGGAGCCTCGCCAGCGCCCCGGGCGCCCCTGGGCCCAGGCCCCGAAGGGGAGCGCGGGGGAGAGCGCTGCAAGCGGCCTGGCTGGGGTCCATGCCCCAGGCCTCGGGCCCGGCGCAAGGCAACAAAGTAAGACAAACGGGAGGGCCGGGCTTGGTTTTTTTAAACACAGGATTTTTATTAAAATTCTTATTTAAAAAATCGAAAGCTTGCAGCGTCCGGCGCTCTTGGGGACCCGCACGGAACCGCTGAGCTCCAAGTCCCCGGGCTCAGGACCCGGAGATGGGGTAGGGGGCTTCTCGCCTACACATTTTTTCTTTTTTCATATTTGAGAAATGTTTGCACTGAACAAAATATAAAAGGAAAAGAAAGCAGGGGGTGACCAAACATAAACAAACGCAAACAAACCACAAAGAAAGGAGTCGGGCCCCGAGGGGGTACAGGCCCATACCGAAGATCATTTTGGCAACAATCACCACCGATATTTACAACGAAGAGCGAAATCTGTCACCAGTTGTCAGAACGTTTACATGGCCATAAATATTTAGCATTTTCTTATAAAAAAAAGAAAAATTCTCTATAATTTTAAAGTGTTCTCCACTTGCTTTAGAAGAAGACGGCTGACAATATCGCTATCACACAAACATATTTTACAAAATTCACAAAAGCGGGGCGGGGTGTGTGTGTTGGTCTTTTTCTCGGTCTCAAGCGAGGACGTAAAGGCGGGGACGGTTTGGTGTTCCCCCCCCCCAGAGGCAAACATTCTGTAAACACGGCTTATAGTTCAGCCCTCTCCAAAGGTTCAAAAGGAGAGAGGGAAGGGGCAGAGCTGGGTGGGTGGAATCTGCCCTTCCAGGGAGGCGCAGGCAACCTCCCGGCGCCTCCCCAAAGGAGCCAAGAGTCAACTCGACTCCGTAATAATAATTATAATAATAATAATAATAATAACCACCGAAAGGACCGAGTCCGCCGCCGCCGCCGCCGCCGCCGGGGTGGGGCCTGGGCCTAGGGCCGCGAGTCTCGGAGGGGCGGCGCTCACCAAGTCCACTGCTGGGCCTGGACCAGGGGGTGTGCTGTCGGGTACTGGGGGGTGCTGGCCGAGCTGTACTGGGCGTTGTATTGCATGTGCTGCAGAGACTGCGCGCTGTAGGCCGAAAAGGGGATGCCCGCCTGGAAGGTGGCGGCTGCCAGGTCCTGGGCTTTGAGCGCATGGCACGGTTTGCCGTCCCTGACCAAAACGGGCACGGCCACCCGGCGCGGCGAGGGTAGGGGCGTCACCTCCATACCTTTCTCCGCCCGGGCGCGCTTCATCTTGTAGCGGTGGTTCTGGAACCAGATCTTGACCTGCGTGGGCGTGAGGCGGATGAGGCTGGCCAGGTGCTCGCGCTCGGGCGCCGACAGGTACCGCTGCTGCCGGAAGCGCCGCTCCAGCTCGTAGGTCTGTGCCTTGGAGAAGAGCACCCGCCGCTTCCGCTTCTTGCCCGCGTCCCCCCCGCCGCCCGGGGTCTCCTTGTCATTGTCCGGTGACTCGTCGGCCGAGGGCTCCGGGGACTTGGAGCTTGAGTCCTGGGGCGCCGCGCCGGCCGCCAGCCCGTGCACTGGGGGAGAGAGAAGCACGTCAGGCGCCTGGAGGCCGCGCGCTCGCAGGGCCGGACCCTGCGCGCCCAGGGCCCTCCGTGTGCCCTCGGCCCTCCGCGCCCCGCAGCCCGGCCCCACTGCCTCCGTCTTGACCCCCGCCCTGCTCCATGGGCAACAAAACCGTTGGTTTCCCCCCGGGGAAAGAGGAGAAGAGACAGGAATGGGGGCTCCGGGCTCGCGTTTCTAGGGGTTCGCACAGTGTGGGTGCGTATTTGGGGCGAGTGGCGCGCGGAGAAGATCTTCGCGGGTTAAGGGCTCTGGCCCCCTTAAGCAGTTTCCTCTCCGGATGGACGTGGACAGATTTTTAAAAGAAAAACCCCACAATCCCAGCATTGATCGGCTTGGCCATTTAAGGCAGGTTTTTTGGGGGCTTTCGTTTTTGCTTTCGGACTTTCTCGACACCCTCCGCCCCGCACAAAGCGTCCTCTATGATCGTGCAGGGGGCAGGGTGAGCTATTTATACCCGGGCTACCGGGAGCCTCCCCCATCCTCTCCCCGTACCCCGAGGCTTGATGGCTCGCTCCAGTGCTCCAGGCCAGTCCCTCCTGGCTGTCGGGGTGGGGGCGTGGGGGGGCTCCACCGGAGCCATCAGTCCTGGGTTGTCATCTGTAAGCAGCCCTTGGGAGGTATCCCCTCCCCCTCTTTTCCCTAATTTCTTGCTTTGAAAAAATATCCGAGACGAGACCACGTCTTTTTCCGGTACTCGGTACTCGGGGTTTGGAAGAGGACACCGTTAGGGCATCATTAACAAGTGTTCGAAATCTTTCCGGAGGAGCCGGGCGAGGGACCGAGTTTACAGGGCCCCTTCCCCTTCCTCCCCCACAGTCCAGCGCCGGCCGCGGCCGCGGCGACCAAGTTTCGCTACTTACGGGAGTACTGGAGGCCCTCGGTGCTGGCCAGCCAGCGCGTATATGGGTTGTCGCTGCTGTCGTAGAAGGGGTTCTTCAGGGGCAGGCTCTGCACCGCGTCCAGGGCGCCCTGCCCCAGCGGCCCGGCCCTCTTGGCGGGCTCGGGGCCCTCGCTCTCCTCCTCCGGCCCCTCAGCCACCGAGCCTTCCTCATCGTTGGTGTCCGGCAGGTCCAAGATGTCCTTGACCGAAAACCCCGTCTTTGTGTTGGTCAGCGACATGGCTCGGGACCCCGCAATTTATGCCGCAAAGTTGTAGCTTCACTTGGTCAATTCGCGGCGCTCCCCAGTTGGGGCGGGGAGGGGGTATGGGGGGGAGGGATGGGGGAGGGGAGGAGGGGCGTGGGCTTTAATTATTGAGATAATTATTATTTTAAAAAAGAGAAAGAAACTAAGGAAGGGGAGGGGGGGGAAAGCCCCAAAGCAGTGCCTGTGTCCTCTCTGAAACCACGCGGGAACCGACGCAGGAGCGGGCGGCCTGCGCGCCGAGCGCCGCGGGCCGGGCCCTAGTTTGTAACTCCAGGAGGGGTGCCAGGGAGGCGTCAGCTCGGGCTCCGGCGGCCGCTCGGCGCGCGGTGGCGGCTGGTGGCGAGGGAAAAATGGGCCATTGCCCGAGCGATCAGTCCATATAAGGCTGGGCTCCACTCACGAACCTGGGGAGAGGGGGGAGAAGAGGGGGAGAAAGAGAGGGAGGGAAAAAAGAGAGGGAGGGAGGGGGAGCGAGAGAGGGAGCGAGGGAAGGGTGGAAAAAAGGGGGAGAGACATTAAAACGCAAAGGTTGGACACGTGTGGGCGGGTCTTGGAAGTCAAGTGGATGAAGACAGTATTTGCAGATGTGAAATTGTGGGTTTTGGGGAGCTCGGCGCTCCTAGCCAACAGCCCTCTAGAGCAAGATGAGAGGTGTAACGTGTCAATTAATTGCAAAGACGGGGCGAGCCTTTTTTACCCACTATTTACATACAAAGGACCGCCGCGTCGCTCGCGAGTCCACACACTTGAAAAGATCGTTTTAACAAATTGCATCTTTAAAAAAGCGGGGGAGGAGGAGAGAAAACAAAACAGAAACCAACAGGAGCAAAAAAAAAAAAAAAAAAAAAAAATCCTCAGCGTCCACCGGTGCCTACCTCCCCGCCCTCGTGCGCCCGCCCCCAACAAGCCGGAAAATTGGCGATTTGTGGCGCCTTTGGAAAAGGGGGAGGGGGCGAAGGCTGAGCCTCGGAAATCTCTTCTCCTCATCGCTGGTGGTTCCCTAAACAAGATCCGGTTCAAATGGCAAGAGCCCAACTTCTGTAAGCCTCCTAGGTCAATATTTTGGTTGAGGCTTAAGGATGAGTACTAGAAATGACAAGGCAAGTAATTGATTCTAGTTAACGCCAAAAGAGCCCGAAACCCAGGAGGGGGATCGGCTCAGGGCCGGCCGGAGCCACCACCAAGCGACCCCACCCCCCTCCAGCCACCCTTTATTTGCTAAAGACTTATTTCCTTCCCTCCGCCTCTCTCTCCCTAACCTCCTTCCATTTCTCGGCCGGCCGGGAAGCACTGCGCAGTTCACTCGCCACTTTGCGGGCGGCCCAGGGAGGGGCAGGGTGGGAGGTGGGGAACTCGAACTGGGGCCGGGTTCCGTCCGCGGCCGCACCGCCTACGGGCTCCGCGGGCCGCGTCCTCCGGGTGGAAGGAAGGGCAGACGGCCCCGCGCCCTTCCTGCCCCCTATTATGCCTCCCTCACCGGCCTCCTCCCTCTGCAGCCTCCGCCAGCGGTGGGGAGGGGGGGGAGGGAGGAGAGGAGTGGGGGGACAGGCGTGCTGCATCCAGCCCCGGTGAGGACCCCGAAAGCCGCAGGGAAGGGGGTCGCAGGAGAGGCGGGTGGTGCAGTGATTTTTTTCTCCCAAGCAAGTCCTTAAATTTCGTCTCCGTTTGGTTGCCCCAGGGGTGCGATCGGAGCCCTTGCTCCAGGCTCCCAGCTTGCCTTAGGTTTGTGTGAAGTTCCCAACCTCTCGCCAGCCTGGAAACTGAACTTTCCTGGGACAGCACCTTCTCTCAGGCGCTGGGGAGGAGTAGCGCAAGCTGTACTTCCTACCCCTCTTCCCAGCGTGCGGGGGGGGGGGGGGGAGGAGGGGAGGGAGAGGGTAAGGTTTGCTACCTGATGCTCCCAGCCGTCCCAGAAAAGCGTCAGGAAGGTGCTTTGCTGGGGTTGGGGGTAGCAGGGAGGGGCAAAAGAGGCCGCGCGCGCGGATCGGGGTCTCGCCTTCCCCTCTGCCCCCAGCCAGGGCCGCCCCTCGCCGGCGGAGCGGAGCGCGGGGGTGCCCCGTCCTCTCCCGGAGCAGCTGCGGCCGCAGCCGCGCTCCTGTCTCCCCCGGGTTGCCAGCGCCCGGCGAGGGCGCCTCTCCCCGAGCCGCTCGGAGGCTTTCTGCAGCCCTGGCTGCCTCGCCCCCAGTATGTGACGTGGGTGACAATGGCCCAGGTTAGAGCGAGCCCCTCGTTGGCGCGTCCTGGGTGGTCGGACCCGGGCAAACACAAATACAAACCGATTGCTAAGCTGCGGACAATGAGCGAAATGTAGACAAATGTCCCGCTCCCGTTGGAAGCCTTTGTCCCGGCTCGGTTTTTGCATTTATTTCAGTGGCGAAATAATACATGATTGACGCTCTCTTTCAACGTGTCCTAACTGTTTGGAATAAATCTAAGGCTGTTCCTAGTTGTCATGGCGTTCAACCCTTTTCAATGGACTATCTCTTCATTCATTTCTGAATCCGTCCACAATATTAAGGAAACCCCTTCATGTCGACGTTCCCTATTCCTCTCTTTCTCCTCCTACTTCTTCTTTTCTCCTTTCTCCCCCTCCTTCCTCTTTTTTCCCCCTGCAAGAATTAGAAACTGGTTTGAATCGTGTTCCTCGAACCCATTACTTTTCGTGCTTTCTTCTCTCTCTCCAGTCTCTGTCTTTCTCAGCCTCTCCCCCCATTGCTCCCCCTCCCCCTCTTTCACGTGGGAGCTCTCTGCTCCATCCTGTCGGAGGGAAGTTGGTTCTCCAGGAGGGGGGGGGGCTGGGCCCGCCCCAACTATTGTTAGTCTACTGCTAAATAAATAGCTAACAAGAAAGTTTCTCAACCCAAGCCTAGCAGAAAACTCCTTCCTGTGGTCTGTCCCCTATTCCTCTCTCCCAAGGTTTGTGTGTGTGGGGGGGGAGTATCTTGAGGACCAGAACATGTTGCAGGAATGGGGACGAGTCAGAAATGAGTCTGGGTGGAAAAGGTCAGTTCTTGGGTTGGGTGAAAAAATTGTCTGTTGGAAGTGTCCCTTTTTGCATATCTTCATAGCCATGAGGTGGGGGGAATCACCTCCAGATGTCTTCTCAGGGTTTGTTCATTTCCTCACTTTGGAGCCACCTAGCTCCATTCACATCTCCCTTCCTTCCCCCAACATTGAGGGCCTGTCTCCCCAGATCTAATCAGCAGCCCCGGTGACTCTGGGCCCCTCCCTTCTCCCTGGGAGCCTCCAAGGAGGGCAGAGCGCTTTCGAGACAACTGTTTTCCTACAGGAATCCAAGCTCCTGGGAATTCATCACGGAGATGGGGAGCTGACCATGGCACCTGGAGAAAGAGCCCCCCCCCCCAGCTCAATTCCCAGCGCAGTTCTCCACCATGTCTATCCCTTTGTCTCAACTACCTTGAGACCTTCCACGAGCACCTGTGGGGCCACACTGCCTGCCTGTACAGGCCAATGCCTGGCTACCAGCTCCCTCTTCCAGCTTCTCCCCAGTGTGGGTCGCGTTTTTCCTTCCTTCCCTTGGTCTCCAGAGCCTCCGACTCGCCTCCAGCCGACAGGGTCTGCGCCCAGCGTCTCTCTCCTGGGACCTCGAGAGTCCATTTTCCCCATCGCTTCGTCGCCCGTGTGGTGTGGTTCCTGCCTCTGCTTCCAAAGCGCTGACATTTGCAATTGAAAAGGCGCAGGGAGACCGCTGGGAGGCTCATAATTGAAGGGGAGAAACTCTGCTTGTTAGAGGAAGATCATAAAACGCAAGTCCCCCAGGAGTGGCCGGCGGCCGCTGGGAGGCCGGTGCGGGACCAGCTGGCGGCCAGGGGCAAGTCCTGTGCCAAAGCACGCTCCAAGTTCTTCTTCCTGATTTCTTGTAGCCGGGAAGAGCCCAGGGGCTGGGCACCAAAAGCACCTTCCCCCACAAATTAAAAGGTGATTGCATTGTGAGGACTCCTCAAGAGGCCTCTCTGGGAGCAGCACCGACCAGCCTTTTCCAGCCGGGGCCTGTGTGGCGAGATCCCCCTTGCCCAGAAAGCTGAGGATGAAGCTTCCCACCCCTGCCCCATGTCTAGAGTCCTTTATTCGGGTCCCCGCCATCCCCACCCTGTCGGTTCTAAACAATCAATGTCGCCGGCCGTGCACTTGTTTCAGCTCTGCCTGGATGTGCTCTAGTGTCCCTCAGCCCGGGACTCTTTAGTAAATTCTCTCCAGGTTCCATCTAGCAGCCAGGAGAAGACTGTCCTGGTTCCATCATGTATGGGTTGGGGCATTAAGCTCTGCGGGCAGCGGGGAGAGCCCATGAGTGTTCTGCCACTGGCCTTCTGTGGCTGCAAACTTGGGCAGCAAGTTGAGGTGGGTGCTGGAAGTTTGATGGCTGCTGCTCTAGGCCCGGGACAAGTGTGGCTGTCTTTGGTGGGCAACACCACATAGCCTCCCCTGCCACGGTCACCGGAGCAGCTAGAGGTTCCCTGCCCCTGGTTTGTATTCTCAGCGTTTCGATGCCAGGTGCCCTATACACCTCCAACTCTGTATTCCTTCTTCCCGTGTTTAGTATGGGTGCAAAGGGACTTGCAGGCCCCGAGGGGAGGAGGAGGAGAGGCGAGAGGGAACCTCCTGTGGGAGGCTTCTCAGGCGGCTGAGCTCCTCTCTGCCGCTCTGGGTTCCGGAGGGATTGAAGCGGCAGGCGACTGGAGAGGGCGGCGGGGGAGCTGAACAATCGCCGGAGGCCCAGGAGGGGAGGTGAATGTACACAGGCTAAGTAGCCCCACTCCAGGACAAGTGGCCCTCCAAATCGGCCCAGTGTTTACCTGTTTACTTTCCCAGGTAGCTCAAACACTGAGCGCCTTTTCTGAGCTCTGGAGCCTGGGGAGCCCTGAGGCTCCTTGCTTCTCCCAGCTCCTCAATTTTCCCCACACCGCAGCTCTACGCCCCCTGTTGGGGGAGGGGTGAGGTCTACACAGCAGCAA